TGTGAGGTACAGCTGGCAGTGTGTGGTACAGCTGGTAGTGTGAGGTACAGCTGGCAGTGTGAGGTACAGCTGGTAGTGTGAGGTACAGCTGGCAGTGTGTGGTACAGCTGGTAGTGTGTGGTACAGCTGGTAGTGTGAGGTACAGCTGGTAGTGTGAGGTACAGCTGGTAGTGTGAGGTACAGCTGGTAGTGTGTGAGGTACAGCTGGTAGTGTGAGGTACAGCTGGCAGTGTGTGGTACAGCTGGTAGTGTGAGGTACAGCTGGCAGTGTGTGGTACAGCTGGTAGTGTGAGGTACAGCTGGCAGTGTGAGGTACAGCTGGTAGTGTGAGGTACAGCTGGCAGTGTTAGGTACAGCTGGTAGTGTGAGGTACAGCTGGCAGTGTGTGGTACAGCTGGTAGTGTGAGGTACAGCTGGCAGTGTGAGGTACAGCTGGTAGTGTGAGGTACAGCTGGCAGTGTTAGGTACAGCTGGTAGTGTGAGGTACAGCTGGTAGTGTGAGGTACAGCTGGTAGTGTGAGGTACAGCTGGTAGTGTGAGGTACAGCTGGTAGTGTGAGGTACAGCTGGTAGTGTGAGGTACAGCTGGTAGTGTGAGGTACAGCTGGTAGTGTGAGGTACAGCTGGTAGTGTGAGGTACAGCTGGTAGTGTGAGGTACAGCTGGTAGTGTGAGGTACAGCTGGTAGTGTGAGGTACAGCTGGTAGTGTGTGAGGTACAGCTGGTAGTGTGTGAGGTACAGCTGGTAGTGTGAGGTACAGCTGGTAGTGTGAGGTACAGCTGGTAGTGTGTGAGGTACAGCTGGTAGTGTGTGAGGTACAGCTGGTAGTGTGAGGTACAGCTGGTAGTGTGAGGTACAGCTGGCAGTGTTAGGTACAGCTGGTAGTGTGTGAGGTACAGCTGGTAGTGTGAGGTACAGCTGGTAGTGTGTGAGGTACAGCTGGTAGTGTGTGAGGTACAGCTGGTAGTGTGAGGTACAGCTGGTAGTGTGAGGTACAGCTGGCAGTGTTAGGTACAGCTGGTAGTGTGTGGTACAGCTGGTAGTGTGAGGTACAGCTGGTAGTGTGAGGTACAGCTGGTAGTGTGTGAGGTACAGCTGGTAGTGTGAGGTACAGCTGGTAGTGTGAGGTACAGCTGGCAGTGTTAGGTACAGCTGGTAGTGTGTGGTACAGCTGGTAGTGTGAGGTACAGCTGGTAGTGTGAGGTACAGCTGGCAGTGTTAGGTACAGCTGGTAGTGTGTGGTACAGCTGGTAGTGTGTGGTACAGCTGGTAGTGTGAGGTACAGCTGGCAGTGTTAGGTACAGCTGGTAGTGTGTGGTACAGCTGGTAGTGTGAGGTACAGCTGGTAGTGTGAGGTACAGCTGGCAGTGTTAGGTACAGCTGGCAGTGTTAGGTACAGCTGGTAGTGTGTGGTACAGCTGGTAGTGTGAGGTACAGCTGGCAGTGTTAGGTACAGCTGGTAGTGTGTGGTACAGCTGGTAGTGTGAGGTACAGCTGGTAGTGTGAGGTACAGCTGGTAGTGTGAGGTACAGCTGGTAGTGTGAGGTACAGCTGGTAGTGTGAGGTACAGCTGGTAGTGTGAGGTACAGCTGGTAGTGTGTGAGGTACAGCTGGTAGTGTGTGAGGTACAGCTGGTAGTGTGGGGTACAGCTGGTAGTGTGAGGTACAGCTGGTAGTGTGTGAGGTACAGCTGGTAGTGTGAGGTACAGCTGGTAGTGTGAGGTACAGCTGGTAGTGTGGGGTACAGCTGGTAGTGTGTGAGGTACAGCTGGTAGTGTGAGGTACAGCTGGTAGTGTGAGGTACAGCTGGTAGTGTGGGGTACAGCTGGTAGTGTGGGGTACAGCTGGTAGTGTGTGAGGTACAGCTGGTAGTGTGAGGTACAGCTGGTAGTGTGTGAGGTACAGCTGGTAGTGTGTGAGGTACAGCTGGTAGTGTGTGAGGTACAGCTGGTAGTGTGAGGTACAGCTGGTAGTGTGTGAGGTACAGCTGGTAGTGTGTGAGGTACAGCTGGTAGTGTGAGGTACAGCTGGTAGTGTGAGGTACAGCTGGTAGTGTGTGAGGTACAGCTGGTAGTGTGTGAGGTACAGCTGGTAGTGTGAGGTACAGCTGGTAGTGTGAGGTACAGCTGGTAGTGTGAGGTACAGCTGGTAGTGTGTGAGGTACAGCTGGTAGTGTGAGGTACAGCTGGTAGTGTGAGGTACAGCTGGTAGTGTGGGGTACAGCTGGTAGTGTGGGGTACAGCTGGTAGTGTGAGGTACAGCTGGTAGTGTGTGAGGTACAGCTGGTAGTGTGAGGTACAGCTGGTAGTGTGTGAGGTACAGCTGGTAGTGTGTGAGGTACAGCTGGTAGTGTGTGAGGTACAGCTGGTAGTGTGGGGTACAGCTGGTAGTGTGAGGTACAGCTGGTAGTGTGTGAGGTACAGCTGGTAGTGTGAGGTACAGCTGGTAGTGTGAGGTACAGCTGGTAGTGTGGGGTACAGCTGGTAGTGTGTGAGGTACAGCTGGTAGTGTGAGGTACAGCTGGTAGTGTGAGGTACAGCTGGTAGTGTGAGGTACAGCTGGTAGTGTGAGGTACAGCTGGTAGTGTGAGGTACAGCTGGTAGTGTGAGGTACAGCTGGCAGTGTGTGGTACAGCTGGTAGTGTGAGGTACAGCTGGCAGTGTGAGGTACAGCTGGTAGTGTGAGGTACAGCTGGCAGTGTGTGGTACAGCTGGTAGTGTGTGGTACAGCTGGTAGTGTGAGGTACAGCTGGTAGTGTGAGGTACAGCTGGTAGTGTGAGGTACAGCTGGTAGTGTGTGAGGTACAGCTGGTAGTGTGAGGTACAGCTGGCAGTGTGTGGTACAGCTGGTAGTGTGAGGTACAGCTGGCAGTGTGTGGTACAGCTGGTAGTGTGAGGTACAGCTGGCAGTGTGAGGTACAGCTGGTAGTGTGAGGTACAGCTGGCAGTGTTAGGTACAGCTGGTAGTGTGAGGTACAGCTGGCAGTGTGTGGTACAGCTGGTAGTGTGAGGTACAGCTGGCAGTGTGAGGTACAGCTGGTAGTGTGAGGTACAGCTGGCAGTGTTAGGTACAGCTGGTAGTGTGAGGTACAGCTGGTAGTGTGAGGTACAGCTGGTAGTGTGAGGTACAGCTGGTAGTGTGAGGTACAGCTGGTAGTGTGAGGTACAGCTGGTAGTGTGAGGTACAGCTGGTAGTGTGAGGTACAGCTGGTAGTGTGAGGTACAGCTGGTAGTGTGAGGTACAGCTGGTAGTGTGAGGTACAGCTGGTAGTGTGTGAGGTACAGCTGGTAGTGTGTGAGGTACAGCTGGTAGTGTGAGGTACAGCTGGTAGTGTGAGGTACAGCTGGTAGTGTGTGAGGTACAGCTGGTAGTGTGTGAGGTACAGCTGGTAGTGTGAGGTACAGCTGGTAGTGTGAGGTACAGCTGGCAGTGTTAGGTACAGCTGGTAGTGTGTGAGGTACAGCTGGTAGTGTGAGGTACAGCTGGTAGTGTGTGAGGTACAGCTGGTAGTGTGTGAGGTACAGCTGGTAGTGTGAGGTACAGCTGGTAGTGTGAGGTACAGCTGGCAGTGTTAGGTACAGCTGGTAGTGTGTGGTACAGCTGGTAGTGTGAGGTACAGCTGGTAGTGTGAGGTACAGCTGGTAGTGTGTGAGGTACAGCTGGTAGTGTGTGAGGTACAGCTGGTAGTGTGAGGTACAGCTGGCAGTGTGAGGTACAGCTGGCAGTGTTAGGTACAGCTGGTAGTGTGTGGTACAGCTGGTAGTGTGAGGTACAGCTGGTAGTGTGAGGTACAGCTGGCAGTGTTAGGTACAGCTGGTAGTGTGTGGTACAGCTGGTAGTGTGAGGTACAGCTGGCAGTGTTAGGTACAGCTGGTAGTGTGTGGTACAGCTGGTAGTGTGAGGTACAGCTGGTAGTGTGAGGTACAGCTGGCAGTGTTAGGTACAGCTGGCAGTGTTAGGTACAGCTGGTAGTGTGTGGTACAGCTGGTAGTGTGAGGTACAGCTGGCAGTGTTAGGTACAGCTGGTAGTGTGTGGTACAGCTGGTAGTGTGAGGTACAGCTGGTAGTGTGAGGTACAGCTGGTAGTGTGAGGTACAGCTGGTAGTGGGCAGCTTTAAAATAAATTACCTTTCAAGGTGAACATTTGGAGAGCAACAGTCGCAGTTAATGAGGAATTGGCACCAGGAGAAGGTAGTGAGGGAGGGGGGGGGGGAGGTGAGGGAGAGGGGGGGGAGGTGAGGGAGGGGTGGGGAGAGGTGAGGGAGGGGTGGGGGAGAGGTGAGGGAGGGGTGGGGGAGAGGTGAGGGAGGGGTGGGGAGAGGTGAGGGAGGAGGGGAGAGGGAGAGAGGGGTGAGGGAGTGGGAGGTAAGGAAGAGAGGGAGTGAGGTAAGGAAGAGGGGAGTCATTACACAAGCAACAGGTGATGAAGGTAACGCAGACAGAGACAAGTGGGGTGCCCCAAGGCTCGTCCTGGGACCCCTACCCTTCCTGGAGCTCAGGAACCACCTACCCTTCCTGGAGCTCAGGAACCACCTACCCGAAGGAGTGAGCGCGTTCATACCAATGTCTGTAACCAACACATAGGTAACTATGAACGCAAAAACAGGAGGACTGCAAAGAAGACCCCAGACATTCTCCAAGACTGGGCAAACAAATGGTTGCTAGTATTCAACCCTAACGAGTGTAAGGTGATAACAATTCAGAAAAGACTACCTACCTTTGTGTTAGGTAGATAGGTCTTGTTAACAGCATTTGGGGGAAGACAACTACAGGGACCTCTGAGAGAGATCTGGGAGAGGACACCTGTCCAACACCCACACCAGAGGCACACACAAACAACGAAACATCAGCATCGTGTGAAACGCTGCCCAAGACCATAGTGATCCTTAGAAACCTCAATCAGAACTTTTCAAGGCAACCTACACAGTCATTGTTTGGTAAACGACGATATATGCAACACCGATTTGAAATCCTTGTAATAAACCAAAATTTTATAACCAGTGAGGATTGTAACAAGGTTACTGGCAGAGCGACGACGGGAGAGCCGTGAGGAAGGGGTTAAGGAACTGCGACGACGGGAGAGCCGTGAGGAAGGGGTTAAGGAACTGCGACGACGGGAGAGCCGTGAGGAAGGGGTTAAGGAACTGCGACGACGGGAGAGCCGTGAGGAAGGGGTTAAGGAACTGCGACGACGGGAGAGCCGTGAGGAAGGGGTTAAGGAACTACACCAAAGGTGCCTGGAGGACACAAGAGAGGGGGACATGATCACACACAAGACACTGAGGAAAGTAGATAAGGTGGAGAAGACTCGCCTCCAAGTTGAGAACAAACAGGACCCGATGACCTCACTAGCCGCAGCACATGTAAAGGAGTAAGAAATTTCAGTAAATATTGGTATTAGTTGTGGAAGTGTCCATCCACAACTTTGATGCCAGAGTTGTCCAAGACTTGGAATGTGAGAAAAGTTCACTAATAACACAATGGCTACAAGGCGGCGGCTCATAAGCCAGCCACAAAAAATGCTCTTCAACACTTTAACATCAAACATGGCCTCAGGTTCACGCTTTAATTACACTAGTTTAGTGAGTTACACCACGTATGCGCGCACGCACACACGTACGCATATACGCACACGCACGCACGCACCCGGAATTCCTGAAACCAGCAACTTCACGAACAAGAAAACACAGAATCAAGTTAAGTAAACAAAGGTGCCGAAAAAAATTAGAAAGTTTTATTTCAGAAAGAGAGAGGAACACGGTTGGAGCAAGCCGGGCGAGGTGGTGGCGGCGGCCAACACCGTAGTACTTTCATAGCGTTATACGACAAAGAGTCCTGGGAAGACGGGACACCCCGAGCGTAGCTCTCATCCTGTAACTACACTTAGGTAATTACAGAAGGAAACGGACACGGATGACATACACTAAAACAACGTTGAACGAACGTAAATGGCTGTGAACGTTTTAGAGTAATACTGAACAAATGGGATGGAGTAGAGACTGATGAGTAACTCGATAACTTGTTTCAAAGGTAGACAAGATAAGACAAGATAAGAAACAGGAGACCAGAGACTCTCCGCAGGAGACAACCCCACAGCATGAAAGCCGGAGCTCAAGAGTTCGCGCTCGACCCTGCAAACATATTTGTGTGTACACACACACACACACAATCTGGAAGACAGAAGAGTAAGGGGAGACATGATCACTACCTACAAAATTCTCAGAAGTATTGATAAGGTAGATAATGATAAACTGTTTAACACGGGCGGTACGCGAACAAGTGGAAACTGAGTACCCACATGAGCCACAGGGTCGTTAGAAAGAACTTTTTCAGTGTCAGAGTAGTTAACAGGTGGAATGCATTGGGCAGTGATGTGGTGGAGGCTGACTCCATACACTGTTTCAAGTGTAGATATGATAGAGCACAGTAGGCTCAGGAACCTGTACACCAGTTGATTGACGGTTGAGAGGCGGGACCAGAGAGCCAGAGCTCAACCCCCGCAAGCACAACTAGGTGAGTACACACACCAAGACCATTACACTGGCTGTAACTGATGAAAATACTTGAGTAAAAGAGTGAAGGTGGACCCATGTTGGGTGATGCTGGCCCATGTTGGGTGATGCTGGCCCATGCTGGGTGATGCTGGCCCACGTTGGGTGATGCAGGCCCATGTTGGGTGATGCTGGCCCATGTTGGGTGATGCTAACCCATGTTGGGTGATGCTGGACCATGTTGGGTGATGCTGGCCCATGTTGGGTGATGCTGGCCCATGTTGGGAGTGCTGCCCTACCCACCACCTCCACCAGACGCTGACAGCACACACACACTGTAAGAGACGCAGTACCCGCTTCTCTCCTGCCTCAGCTTGACAGCTTACCAACACAAGAGCCAGCTGTCATCTCGAGACAAATATGAAAACAAAAAACCGCATATAATCACATTTCCTGTTTTCGGTTTCATTCACAAGATAAAAAGAAATTAGCAAGACCATAACTGGAGGAAATCATTCAGCGCCTAACATACTGAATGTTTCCCCTTCAAGCTTATCAAAAGCAAGCTGTGTTTGTCATTTAAGGAGTAACTAAGAAAATGTGGAATATATTCATGGAGGAATGTGAGGGAAGAATGACTTACGACCTCAATAATTACAACAGTAAAAGTAGGGAAATGCCAGCGAACTACACTACCATCAGCAGACACACACACACTGGTGTTATTGGTCACACTGCTTAGTGTGTCGTGGACAGCAGCGTTGTCACACTGCTTAGTGTGTCGTGGACAGCAGCGTTGTCACACTGCTTAGTGTGTCGAGGACGACAGCGTTGTCACACAGCTTAGTGTGTCGTGGACAGCAGCGTTGTCACACTGCTTAGTGTGTCGTGGACAGCAGCGTTGTCACACAGCTTAGTGTGTCGTGGACGACAGCGTTGTCACACAGCTTAGTGTGTCGAGGACGGCAGCGTTGTCACACTGCTTAGTGTGTCGTGGACAGCAGCGTTGTCACACAGCTTAGTGTGTCGTGGACAGCAGCGTCGTCACAGCTTAGTGTGTCGTGGACAGCAGCGTCGTCACAGCTTAGTGTGTCGTGGACAGCAGCGTCGTCACAGCTTAGTGTGCCATAGACGGCAGTGTCGTCGTTTTCTGTAGCACACCTCCACCACCACCGGGGAGACAGAGCCGCTCTGTGCTCCAAGCCTCCCGGACCCACAGGGGCTCCCCCACCACCACCAATACTCACCAGGACTATGACTCCCACTATTGACACTATACAGGTGTGGCAAGTGTCAAGTATACTCACCAGGGGTGTGGAGACGGGGCCTAGAGGCTAGGGAGAGAGAGTGAGGGAGCGAGAGGCAGCAGGCAGCACTGAGGCAGCAAGGAAACTGCCACCATAGATGATGGTAGCCCTACCTACAGCTAATTCCGTCCTCCAGTTTATGTTGGTGGCGGCTGGAGCTGGGCGGTAGTGTGGGTGTGCCTGCGGGGTGTGGGGGAGGGGCTGGCACCCTGCACCAGTATCGGTGCCCGTGCTTGCTTCACTCGCCTCCTATAATGCACCACCACAGAAAACTAATTCTGTATTTATATAACTAGAGATGAACAAGTTTCTTATATTATGAAACTCACTAAAAATACTGTGCCAAACTGTGCCAAAGGGGCGACTGTGCCAAAGGGGTCAAGGGTGCCTCTGTGACTGCCTCCCACATTGTCTTCTACAACCCTTAAGGTCCAAGATGCATCACCCCTTCAATAATAACTATTACCAAAACTTGGCATGGATTTGCGGCGTGAAAATATGGTCTTGGAAGTTTTCTCTTGCGTGAATGTGACAAGATAATGAAAACGGGGGTGAGAATGTCATAGTCTACGGTTCACTGTCCTGTCGCGTTTTCCTTTATTGGGAGCACTATAGAGACCGACCAGCCGGCCCTCGACCCGGGGCGGCCTGCCAGCCCTCGACCCCCTCGACCTGGGGCGGCCTACCAGCCCTCGACCCCCTCGGCCCGGGGAGGCCTGCCAGCCCTCGACCCCCTCGGCCCGGGGCGGCCTGCCAGCCCTCGACCCCCTCGACCTGGGGCGGCCTACCAGCCCTCGACCCCCTCGACCTGGGGCGGCCTACCAGCCCTCGACCCCCTCGGCCCGGGGCGGCCTGTCAGCCCTCGACCCCCTCGGCCCGGGGCGGCCTGTCAGCCCTCGACCCGGAGCGGCCTGCCAGCCCTCGACCCCCTCGATCTGGGGCGGCCTACCAGCCCTCGACCCCCTCGGCCCGGGGCGGCCTGCCAGCCCTCGACCCCCTCGGCCCGGGGCGGCCTGCCAGCCCTCGACCCCCTCGGCCCGGGGCGGCCTGCCAGCCCTCGACCCCCACGACCCGGGGCGGCCTGCCAGCCCTCGACCCCCACGACCTGGGGCGGCCTGCCAGCCCTCGACCCCCACGACCCGGGGCGGCCTGCCAGCCCTCGACCCCCACGACCCGGGGCGGCCTGCCAGCCCTCGACCCCCACGACCTGGGGCGGCCTGCCAGCCCTCGACCCCCACGACCCGGGGTCTACCCATATCTAAACAATTGCAGTGTATCAGAGCGCCTTTGCCACAGTACCCCATAAAAGGCTGTTACAAAAGTTGGAGCAAGAAGCAGTAAGGTAAGGTGCTCCAGGGAGTGGATAAGGGAGTAATGTGAGCAACAGCAAGCAGCGAGTAACTGTGAGGGGGGCGGGGGGTTATCTTGAGGTTATCTTGAGATGATTTCGGGGCTTTAGTGTCCCCGCGGCCCGGTCCTTGACCAGGCCTCCACCCCTAGGAAGCAGCCCGTGACGGCTGACTAACACCCAGGTACCTATTTTACTGCTAGGTAACAGGGACATAGGGTGAAAGAAAATCTGCCCATTGTTTCTCGCCGGCGCCTGGGATCGAACCCGGGACCACAGGATCACAAGTGCAGCGTGCTGTCCGCTCGGCCGACCGGCTCCCTCGGCTGCCCGGGGTCATGAGCGTGGTCAGATGGTGGACAAGGAGGTGGACAAAGACACTATTTAGCACGGGTGGAACACGAACAAGGGGACACAGGTTGAAGCTCAGTACCTAAATGAGCCACAGAGACGTTAGAAAGATTTTTTCCAGTTGCATAGTTAAAAGATGGAATGCATTAGGCAGTGATGTGGTGGAGGCTGACTCCATACACAGTTTCAAATGTAGATATGATAGAGCCCAGTAGGCTCAGGAACCTGTACACCTGTTGATTGACAGTTGAGAGGCGGGACCAAAGAGCCGAAGTTCAACCCCCCATAAGTACAACTAGGTGAGTACAGTCACACCACTCACACACGTGACTACACAGTCACACCACTCACACACGTGACTACACAGTCACACCACACTTCACCTCCACCTAACTACCCGTCAGCCACTAACAAGCGTCTCACCATGACAGTTGAGCGGGCGCCACCTCTCACCCAGGTCGCGTGAACGGTCACATCTAAGATGGCACTCTTCTGTCTGTAATGGGAAAGGAGTTGATTTCCTCAGAGGGGCAATGTAGAGAGAGTCATTCTTCAGACGACTGCGCCGACGGCACTCAAAGGTCACAGGTCAGCCACAGGAAAGGTCAGATGATAGTCTTACCTCCACAGTCGCTCTTTCAGCTCGACTTCAATGGCCTCCATGTGGTTCCTGTCGGGGTTGAGCGCCACTTAAAAGCTGACGAGGCGCTCAAGTCTCAGCGGAGGGAATGGGTTCCCCAGACGCCCTTGTCCAACTGAGCGGGGCTCCTGCTACACGTGGGGCCAAGGCCGACCTGCCAGTAGCCTGTGCTGCAGTAAGTAACGTTCTCTGCTACTTGGGCGGCCGTAATGTTAACGCTGCGTTACTTGGGCGGCCGTAAGGTTAACGCTGTGTGTTACTTGGGCGGCCGTAAGATTAACGCTGTGTGTTA